TTGCTTAGCAGACAGAAACCCTCATGTTGGTCCCAAGACAAAAGAATCACAAACGATTTCTGGGCCAGGCATTACATTTTTAAATAAACAAACCCAAGAACCTGAATGGAATCATTCCCTCCGCCATACTATGTGAGTGGAAGCCTTGGAGCTGAAGGGTGTACAGGATGGTTGTAGAGCAGTGGTGGGGTGGGAGAAACGGGGTGGACTTACAGGATTCTCCCCAATGCTCTTCTCTCCCTCCTCCCAACTCCTCTCCCTCCTCCTCCGCCATGCATATTCATCCAAATAAACTTTGAATCGGTACTCACTCGCAGCGGAATTCAGACGTTCTTTTCCTCAAGAGCTAGACGACCCATCAGTTTGGCCGCTTTCTTCGCCCAAACAACTATTTTAAAAGCCTGGCCTAAATGCTGCGCACCGCGCACACATGCACACAAACACACACGGCAATCCTTGCTATTTTGGACGATTTAAATTTCATAAAATCCGTCCCTCCTTCCCTCTCTTGATCTTTTTTTTCTCCTCCTCCTCCTCCTCCTCCTGCTCCTGCTCCTCCTCCTCCTCCTCCTCCTCCTCCTCCTCCTCCTCCTCCTCCTCCTCCTCCTCCTCCTCCTCCTCCTCCTCCTCCTCCTCCTCCTCCTCCTCCTCCTCCTCCTCCTCCTCCTCCTCCTCCTCCTCCTCCTCCTCCTCCTCCTCCTCCTCCTCCTCCTCCTCCTCCTCCTCCTCCTCCTCCTCCTCCTCCTCCTCCTCCTCCTCCTCCTCCTCCTCCTCCTCCTCCTCCTCCTCCTCCTCCTCCTCCTCCTCCTCCTCCTCCTCCTCCTCCTCCTCCTCCTCCTCCTCCTCCTCCTCCTCCTCCTCCTCCTCCTCCTCCTCCTCCTCCTCCTCCTCCTCCTCCTGCTCCTGCTCCTGCTCCTCCTGCTCCTCCTCCTTCTTCTTCTTCTTCTTCTTCTTCTTCTTCTTCTTCTTCTTCTTCTTCTTCTTGGCTCTCTTTATTTAAGTGAATAAAAGTTTAAAGCTGGAGGTTATTTATTGTTCCGTCGAGATAAGTCCTAAGTGGCTCTTTCGAAGCACGTGATTCCAATAAACTTTGTTTTATGGCTTGAGGGTTGACAAGCCAAAACATAATTCCCACCATAAATTAGTTTAAGAGCGTACAAGTGCAGATGCTTTCATTCCTGGAAGCAGTGACAGAAAGAGTGTTTAAGTGGGAGCCCTCCGCCTGATACTGAAGTCCAAGGAGACCCCTTCCCTCCATTCCTCTTCCCTCTGGGAAAGCTTACAGTAAGTCTCTTCTTATTCCCCCTAGACAGAAGCGTGATGTTTGCCTGGAAGTGTGCGTTTGGATGCGGGCAGGTCTCTCCGCTGAAACTATAGAATACAAGAAACACGGAAATGTAATAGGATCAGATCGTTCCCGTTAAAAACTAGATATGACTGAATTGGTTGCTCACAGTCAAGCAATTTTTATTGCTACTTTTATTGTTGTTGTTTTTGTTGGACAAAGCCGATAGATAATTACTAAGCCTTTATTTTCATCAATTCAACGATGCTGGCCTGTTATTCTAGAAGTAAACAGGAGGAGGGGGAAGAGAGAGGGGACCCCTTGAGATAAAAAGTTACTGCTATGAAATTATTGCTACTCACTTAAATTTGTATCTGTGTTTTTAAAACCCCCTTCAAGAATAACGCAAACAACATGATGAAAATTATTAAGGGATTTAAAAAAAAAAAGAAATCACTTTGTTCATTTTTGATATCTTGTCTCTACATAATGACCGGGAGATAATATAGAATTGATGAAAGACAAGAATGATAATGCAGTTAAATAAGCATCTTGCTCTAACTTCTGTGAAGAACATTATGCGGAGCTTTTCCAGTGGGGATGTTAAGATTATCAGAATAGGTGAACAGAGGCTGCGGATCTTCAGGAATTCTCTAGGATTGTAGTGGTTTTAAGGAAAGTTGTCCTGAGCTCCTTGGAGAAAAAACAGGATTACTATGGCTGTCACTGAATTTAGAGATGTGTTTTACTAAAAAAATCTCATATGGCTCTCTTCTTTATGCCGTTTTAAAATAAGAATCAGGACAAAGCACAAGGTGTGCTAATTTCTCATCCCTGATCTCAGAATTGTTCACAAATATTTCTGGAGAGTTGTAAGTCATTAAGTTTTCCAAGTCATAATCAATATCAGAAGCAGATGAAATATGGCATGATTCAACGGTTTTCTTCACCCTCTTTCTTTCTCTTTCTTTTTAATTGCAACAGGTTCGGGACAATGGAAAGACAGCTCCAGTAAGTGAACTCTTCCTTTTTGCCAAACGTGCTGGGCTTCCAAACATTACCTTGTAAATGTTGCTGATATAAAGAGAGTAAATTCACCTTTGCTGTGCTCATGAAATGTATGTCAGAAGTTACTTGCACTTGAGTGGTTGCGGGGTGGGGGGGCAGTCAGTTTGCTTTCTTCCATCCTTCTCCATCTCTGTGATGACAGATCACTGCAAATACTTCAGGGCTGCACAGGTGCAAGGTGTCATATTCTGCCCCTCATCAGTATTTTCCAGCTAATGAGCAGGATTAGCATTTTAACTGGCTCAAGCTATATGGTGTCTCCCTTTGCAAACATTGTAAGAGGGTGGGCTGTTTGTTGACTTCAAAACACAGTTGCACTTATACCCGGCCTTTGAGGATGTCTAATGAAATAACAGGCTCTAGAGATGTGTGGGGATATTTCTTTAGCTTGAAGAAGTGCAGCTGGAAATAGGGCCCATTGGTTTCAAGGAAAACCTATGTGCCTAGCTGCTATGCTTAGAATCAGACGCATGATGATGTAATGCAGTCTAAAATATTGACGTTAAGTGCTATCCTGATTAAATGAAGTGTTTCTTCCATAGGGTGATGAATTATAATAGGAAAGGTGATATTATTGCTGGATGAATTTAGGGGAAATCGGTTGTCATTTAGTGTGGAGGAACAAAGAATAGGAGAAAAAGATGGATCTGTTTCAAGAAATAAAGGGGAAAGGGAGAGAAAAAAAGTGAGGTCAAAATAAAGAGAAGGGGGGGGAGGGGGGAAAGGAAACCAAGGTTGAGATCAGTTTAATCCTTGCAGGTTTTTGAGGTATGGTGAAAGGAGTTAATCTTTTAATTGAACAATTGAGAATTACAATGTATTGTTTTCCTGTACAAATCAGCTTTTAAATGCAATTTTAAAAGTGACTGTCTCTGACTCTCCCTTTCACACTTGTTCTTGGTTTTTAAAAACTTACCTTACTTCTTTTAAAATCCAACCTGATGTATTGATCTCTATGTTTGCATATTGCTTTTTGAGAGCTCTAAAGAACTAATGAATCAATTTATTACATTTTCTTCCCTAGATAAAAATTCTGTGTGCTTTGCCCTTCTTTTGGGGTTAGGTTTTCTTTTTGGCTAGCCCTATAACTCTTTAATTTTTTTTTTAAACGTCCCCTTCGTTCTGTCTTTCTTTCCTCTTCTTTAAAAAAGTCTTTTTTAAATTTAGTTTTAGCATACTGATTATGAACCAGCATACAAAAAGGCCTGACGGATCAAAAGAATTTATATGGGCAGTTGAGCAGGAGGTGAATATTTAACGCTTTTGTCCATCAATAACTCCTTTGGCTTTGACCTGTCTGAGCAAGTCGTGCAATAAGGTGAAACGCAGGTCACAGCGTCTAACAAATATGAAAATCTGTGCAATTGCACAAAATATTGGAGCAATATCTTTTTTGCTTCTTTCAGTGATTTCTACCCGATCCTTTCATGATGTTGCCTCTCCTGTGCCCAAAAACCACACACAAATACATGTAACATTGATAAAGGATCTTCCTGTGAAGAATTGGCTGCTTGAGTACATTTCATTATTTTAAATAGGCAAAAGGGTTAGGGGCAGGAGGAGACACTGATCTTCCTCTAAAATGCCTTTTCTGCCAACTCTGAAAATAGATATGGACTCAGAAATTTGTTAGGAGATCCAATTCGATTCCTATTTCCACAGGGCAAAAATCACTTTTGGATATAAAAAGCACCCTGCCCCGCAATTCAAAAAAAGAAAAGAAAAGAAAAAGAGCAGTTCTTTAAGCTTGCTTTTCACAGATACACACACACCAATATTTATTTTATTTTATGTTATTTTGATTAGCCAAGCCAGGGGACTAAAGGGAAATGACCACAAGACAGCACTCAGGAATGGGTCAGCCACAATACATGAACTTTTGGACTCGAGTGTGCTGCTGTCGACAAACTAGAAATAATGAAATACTGGGATATGTTTGTAAATGATTTAGGGTGACCTCCCGTCCTGCCCCTCACCATAAATGCAACTGCCTGAAAACCAGAGGAGAGGACTTTTGTTGCCTGTATATGTATATATCTATTTTAAACAGATCCCCTCTGCTTATAGGAGACTAATGGAATCTTTAAAAAGAGGTTTTTTTCCCTGCACGATTAAAAAACAAATCTAAATGCCTCTGTTTTTCTTGTAAGAGGTTCTCCATTTGCACAACGCCTTCTCTTTGGTGATGGAAGATGGTTTATTTATTAGTTGCATGCCTACCTTTGCTTGCAAAGAGGGACTTACTTTGTCAAATGCACCCGTTCCTTCCCCCGGTTCAGACGCGGAGACACCTAGAGCCTTGGACTCCCAGGGTGGCTCAGCTCCGTGATTTAGGAATCTGAATGCCCCGCTAGCTGTTCCTGGTCACACCAGTAATGCGTTTTTGTTCGTTCGTTTTCCTATGAAATCATACCCGCTCCCCTTCCATACCCATGACGCCAGATCTTTCCCCCAACAGAGGCCAGTGTGTATTCCTCGGATGAAAGTCAGAGGGCTGGAAACAGGACAGCGTGGCTGCCTTTGTGTAAAGGAGACCAGAATGTTGTTACGTTGTCTATATATACCCTGTAGAACCGAATTTGTGTGGTATTTACGTAGTCACAGATTCGATTCTAGGGGAATATATGGTCGATGCAAAAACTTCACTTTTCTGCTCATGGTTAGGAGATGTAAAGAGAGAAGATGTGCAAAGACGCCCTGCCTGGCGCTAGACCAGGAGCCCCGGTCTTCGTCACACTCTGTCCTTTGGTAGCACACCCCATCCTAAACATGCTCACACCAACAATACAAAGAACCTGGGAAAAGGCTAGTCGGCCGTTAAAAACCTTCTCTTTCAATAACAGCGGCTATTTGTGAAAGGTGAATAGAAGAACTCTGATATTAGCGAGGGATTTTTTTTCTTCATTTACACGTCCGCTTTTCAAGCTAATATCGGATGTCTTCAAAAGCATTAATATCTTTATAACAGAAATGTCAGCTGCAAACGAGCTGATTATTGCATAGACCTTTTCTTAATGTGCGGGTTTGCTTTTGTTTCTGTTTTGTGTTTGTTTGCTATGACAAAAGAGAGAGAAGAATTGAACTTCCAAACTTCCAGAATAGTTTCCTGTGCCATCTGATTTGTGTTGTCTTTTGACCAAAACCGATTTTAACGCTGGGTGAAAAGGACAACGACTCCGAAGCGAGTTACTCATTGCCTAATTGTATGCCGCCCATCTAGACTCGGGTAACTTTTGGCTGACCCCTGCCACGGAGGCAATGCAGGTCCACTGTAGGCGGTGTTGCTCTGGCGTTTGATGCTGGCTCCTGATTTCCTGTCCTTTCCCTGATATTCAGCGTTCGCCTTCCTTTCTCTCTTCTTTCTGTTTGCTGCCCTGCAGCTAGCGAACCTTTCTCGCGGTCCCTTACCTTTTAAGGCAGGGAAGGACCTCCAAGGGCTAGGAAAGGCAGGGGAGACAAAAGGCAGCGATTCACCTGGGGGAGCCGGCGGGTGGAGCGGGGAGAAAGGGGGCAGATGGAGGTTGCCACACTGCTGGAGCTGGCCATCAATTGATGAATCGGGTTTTACGGATTCACGTCTCCTTTGGAAACATGTGCGGGGGGAGGGGCGGGCAGCGCACACGAGTCGGATAAAATGTGGATCCCTTGATTACCCGTATATTATTTAGTGAAATTTGAGGAAATTGTGGTGTACTGTACACACAAATCCGGTGATAAAGTACCCTGTCTCCCGATTGGCCGAACCGGTCACGTGGGCGCCTAACTTTATTCAGTTGACAGCAAGTAGGAGGGCTCTGTGGAAGGAGAAAAAAAGACAGCACGAGAAAAATTAGTATTTTCTATCTTCCGAAATTAATGGCCATGAGTTCGTATATGGTAAACTCGAAGTATGTGGACCCCAAATTCCCCCCTTGTGAGGAATATTTGCAGAACAACTACCTAGCCGAGCAAGGCTCGGATTACTACGGCGCCTCGCAAGACTCGGACTTCCAGCACCAGGGACTCTATGCACGGCCGAACTACAGCGGGCAGCAGCAGTACAGCTGCAGCAATGCCCAGGGCTCGGCGGTGCAGGCGCGGGGTCACGGGCAGGAGCAACCCGGCCCGACAGGTCACTTCCCTGGGCAAGGGGAGCACTGCCCACCGCCCCCCATGCCTGCCCCCAGGACTTGCAGCCAGCACCCAAATCTCAAAAGCCCCAACGGGTCACCCGCAGCAGCAGCCAAGCAGCCAGCCGTGGTGTATCCCTGGATGAAGAAAGTCCACGTTAACTCCGGTAAGCCTCCCTTTCTTTTCCCCGTCTTCCCTCCTCCACTCCCCCCCCCCATCATCCCCTCCAAAGGCCTTTCTAGGTCCCGCAAGGAGAAAGTTGGGTGGAAATCGAGGTTGCCCATTACTCTCACCATAAATGTTTATGGTGGAGGAAATAGGCCTCTTGGCCATGTGCCCGAGACAGAAAGGGACTCTTTTTCACAAAGGTGCTACCATTTTTAAAGTCTACTTGGCGAGCGAGCGAGCGAGCGTATGAATGAATGAATGAATGAATGAATGAATGAATGAATGAATGAAAAACCCATCTGCTAGTAGTAGCCAATATAGTGGAGTATGCAGTGGCTACGGAGGAGCCAGCAGGGTTTATTTTAGCCTTGCCAAGTCTAATGAAAAAGACAAAATTTGCTTATAGGTATTATTTGGGGTGGGAAGGATGTTAACGACTGCCTTTGATTTTTTTTTCTCCCCTCAGTAAATCCAAACTACACAGGAGGAGAACCGAAGCGCTCTCGCACAGCTTACACCAGGCAGCAAGTCCTTGAACTGGAAAAGGAATTCCACTTTAACCGGTACTTGACCAGGCGGCGCCGGATTGAAATCGCCCATACGCTGTGTCTCTCCGAACGCCAAATCAAAATCTGGTTTCAGAACCGAAGGATGAAGTGGAAAAAAGACCACAAACTGCCCAACACCAAAGGCCGCACATCCAATTCATCCTCCACCTCCAGCCAACACTTACAAACTGTTTCCAAGGAACACCAAACGGATTTGACCACTTTATAGGAAACTTGGAAACAAGCCTTTTTCCAAGGATTGGCTTCGGAATTAAGCTGCCCAGCATATAGGCAGTCAAATACATGTGCTTACACGCACACAGTGACACCGACACTCATCCTAGTGAAAGGGAAAGCGACGTGTAACACTTTACAACTCTCCAGTGGGTCGCCTCCTGCTTTCTAAGGTAGTGGAGACAAATGTTATGGACCACAGGAGTGACGGAAGTCAACCTAACCATTCAAACAAACAAATTCTGTATCCAGGTGGTGAGAAAGTGAATATATATATATATATATATATATATATATATATATATATA